CTCTAAATAACCCAAATGTCCAGAAGTGGAATGGGTATATAAATGTTTCTGAATTCACGCAATGGAATATTATACAATGATAAAATACCAACTACTACTATAGGTGATCTATACAGCTTTCACTCCATTATATGGAAGCCGACAATGGTAATTTCCCTCTTTTCATTTCTTTTCTTGCATATCTTTGCTATCTCCCCCTTTTTCTTGATTTTAGTTAGTAAGTTATCTATTTTGTTGGTATTTTTCTTTTGAGACAGAGTCTTGCTCTGTTGCCCAGGCTGAAGTGCAGTGGCGCGATCCTGGCTCACTGCAACCTCCACCTCCCAGTTTCAGGCAATTCTCTTCCCTCAGCCTCCCGAGTAGCTGGGACTACAGGTGCATGCCACCATGCCCAGCTAATTTTTTGTATTTTTTTTTTTTTAGGAGAGATGGGGTTTCACTGTGTTGCCCAGGCTGGTCGTGAACTCCTGAGCTCAGCAGTCTGCCCACCTCGGCCTCCCAAAGTGCTGGGATTACAGGCATGAGCCACCGCACCTGGCCTGTTGTTATTTTTTGGAGCCAGGATTTTGATTTATCGCTCTCCTTAAACATTGTTTTCCCATCTCGTGATTACTGCTTACAGCTTTCTTGCTTCATTTTGGCATACTTTGTTTTTCATGTTTCAGCTTTTTATGTTGGAGATTCAGGTATTTTTACTATTTTATTTCCAAATATAATTATGGGTTATTTATTTTTTTATTTCTACTTTTATCCTATCCCATATATAGCTGCTAGGATTTGGCTCTGTGTCCCCACCCAAATCTCACCTTGAATTGTAATCCCCACGTGTGGAGGGAGGGATCCGGTGGGAGGTGATTGGGTCCTGGGGTGGCTTCCCTCCTGCTCTCTCGTGGTAGTGGGTGAGTTCTCCTGAGAGCCAATGGTCTTACAGTGCGGCACTTCCTGCTCTGCTGCTCTCTCTCCTGTCACCATGTAAGACATGCTTTGCTTCCCCTTCACCTTCTGTCGTGATTGTAAGTTTCCTGAGGCCTTCCCAGCTATGTGCAACTGCGAGTTAATTAAAGCTCTTTCCTTTTTGTATTACCCAGTCTCAGGTAGTATCTTAATAGCCCTGTGAGAACAGGCTGCTACAATAGTGTTTTTACCTTTTTATTTTATTTACTTATTAGTTTTTAAAATTAAAAAAAGCATTCTAAATTCTTGTGGGTGCATAGAGCTAAAACTTAAAACAGTTGAACTCATGGAAATAAAGAATAGAATGATGGTTGCTAGAGGCTGGGAAGGGTAGTTGAGGGGAGAGAAGAGGTGGTTGATTAATGGGTACAAAAATATAGTCAGATAGAACGAGTAAGATCCAGTATTTTTAAGTTTTGCAATTTTGGTTTTTATTTTCTCTTAAGGTTTAATACAAAGTTAAAAATATTTTGTAGGTAGAAGGGCCTTTTGGATTATTGATGTTTAATTAATTTCTAGTTTTATTTGTTTGGTTTTATTCCCTGAGACAGGCAGGGTCTCACTCTGTTGTCCAGGCTGGAGTGCAGTGATGGGATCATAGCTCACTGCAGCACTGACCTCCTGGGCTCACGTGATCCTCCTACTTCAGCCGTTTAAGTAGCTGGGACTATAGGCATATGCCATCATGTCTGGCTAATTATTATTATTAATTGTTTTAAGTAGAGAAGAGGTCTTGCTATGTTGCCCAGGCTGTTCTGGAACTCCTGAGCTCAAGCAGTTCTCCTGCTTGAATCTCCCAAAGTGCAGGGATTGTAAGTGTGAGCCACGGTCCCAGCCTGATTTCTAGTTTTATTGCATTGTGATCATAAAAATTATTTTTACTTTGTGTAATATATGAATATTTTTTCATGATCTGTTATGTGATCAATTTAAAGAAACGTTTTATGGTTAGAAAAAGGTATACGCTTCATTATTGGAATGTAAAATTTGATACCTACCCATAATATCTTATGTATTGTTTATGTTATTTATGTCTTTTATGTCCTCATTTTTGTTCTTTTAAAAGTCTCGAACTGACAGTAGTGTGATAAAATATTTTATTGCTGCTTGTATCCTATGTAATTTTTACTTTAGAAAGGTGGTTGCTATACTGTTTAAGGCATAACATTCATTGCTATAATCATTGTGTTTTACATTGTTGTAAATAGCATATAATATGTACATATATGTTTGTATAATTAATATGTATGTACATATTATATGCTATTTACAACAATATACAAATATGTATATTATATGTACATATATACACAATAATATGTACATATATGTACACATGTACTATAACATACATACTATATCATATAATATGTAATAGTATATTATACATATATATTTTATATACATACAATATTTTTTAATGTTAGAATTTATATACAATGAAGTTTACTTTTAATAAAATTTACTTTTGTGGGGACTCAGTTCTATGAGGTTTAATATATGCATAGGCTCTTGTTACCGCCACCAGAAAGATGCAGAATAATTCCAGTATTCCAAAGAATGACCTTGTGCTGCTTTTTTTCTTAGACAAGCCACCTATATCCCAGTCCCTGACAATCATTGATGTCGTCTCTGCCCCTGTAGCTTTGTCTTTTCCAGAATGTCGTATGAATGGGATCATGCTGCATGTGATCTTTGCAGCTGTTTCCTCACTTATGGATAGCATTATATGAAACTTGCCCCCTATGCTCTGTATTTTTTGAAATACCTTATATTCTCTTTGGTTAATGTGATATTTCATGTGGAAGAGATCAGAGGTTTCATTTGTTTCTCAGCTCTTATTTCCTTAGTTCTTTAGTTTTTTTCTTAGTTATTGATATTTATATATGAAAAAAATCACCCCTTTATTCATAAAATGTGCTGCAAATATATTCTGTAGTTTATGTGTTTTTTTTCTTTATAGTGTTTTATATGTATGTAGCATTTAACATTTTTTGTATTTACATTTCTCACGCTTATTTTGTTCTTTCTAATAAATTATTTATGAACATTTTCCCCAGTCTGAGATCGAAATATATATATACGTATCTGTATATGTTTGTATCCCTACCTCCTATGGCCTCCTCTAGATCTTTGAATCATTTTGTGTTTATTTTTTAAATCTTAGATTTGTTTGGTGTTTATTTTGAAGTAGTACATGGGACGGGTTCCAACATGCGGATGTGCTCAGTCTGTTAATTTAGTGAGATGGATATCTAGCGGATCTTTCTTTGTTTACATAACTTCGTGTTTCAGATTACATTCAGGTGCTTCAAATAGTCTGCCAGTTGATTTCTCCTGCGTTCTCTGGGGGCTCTGACTGGCTTCCGCACAGAAAGGCTGCCCTCTGTCTGGTGAAGGCTGTCACCTTGGAATCATCCCGGGATTCCCTTTGCTCCTTTCCCTTGTTCAGTGTTCTCATCTTCCGTTTTTAATTCCCTCGTGGTGAGTGTTGAAGGTGTTCAGTGGAGTTGATAGTTTGATGCATGATTTTGGAAAGACAATGAAAAGCCAGATTATGAAGGACCACATACGCCATGACGAGTTTTAGCTTCTTTTTAATGGTTGAGTGACTATTGAGAATATTTTGTAGGTGAGTTATATTTGCTCTTATAGAATGTTTCCTTGAAACAAGCCATGAATTTCAAAATCAAGAAATTAGCATTGGTTCAGTGTTTTTAGCTGCTTTGGGGACCTTATCCAGTTGCCCCAATAGTGTCCTTTATGGGAACAGAACTTCCAGATCTAGAATTGCAGTCAGTTATCATGTCTTCTTAATCTCTTATAATCTGGAAGTTTCTCAGCCTATGAATGCTGGAAATTTGAATGGCTTTGGAATTACGTGTATGTATGTTGGGGGTGGTGCCGACGTGGGAGACACATGTGTGATTGTGGTCCTTAGGCCACAGGGGATAAATCAGGATCAGGAATGGACTCGGGGGAAATGGATTTTCTACTGTCTGTATACAGGAAAGGTAGAAAACAAATATTCTACTCAAGGATGACTCGGCATTGATTTATTTTTTTATCCTGAGGTGAATAATTTGGCTTTGACAGTTTGGTTCAAGAGCTAGGTGAGATCGATGCTTAGATATGTTTGTGTCCTTAAGTAGCATAGAATTTACATGGCATGTACGTGACTGTGTAAATTCTTCCTACCTGGAAACACAGCACCGAATAGAAAAGGATTGGAGTGTGGCAAAAAGAAAGAAAAAAAAATGAGCTTCTTCAATCTGCCTTGGACACTCATTGTTACTGTTAGGTGCTGGTCTCTGTTAAGCTCTCTTGGGAACTTGTGTATTCCTGTTCTCTGTAGCCATCTTGCTGATATTATGATTCCATATTTCTGACTACTTACATTCAGTAACCATGTGTGTGTGTGTGTCTGCTTTCTGTTTACATATTGATAGAAATTATGTATAGTCTGTCTTTTAATAGGGAAAGTAGCAGTATTCCCTGTCAATACTTACTCCTCTGTGTTGAACTATACCTTTAATTAAAGGGTGTTATAGGAGTGCACATTTCTTTGTGTCGTGTACTGAGTACTGTCTTTATTTTGTGTCCGTTAAGCCCTCAGATGTGTAGACTAGAGAGATGATCTCTCTGTGCAGGTCTTCTCAGACACACCTGTCCCCATGCACTTGTGTTGTTTGCTGCCACATTTCCAGCTGTGTGATTGCATAGCCAACGGGCAGCCTTTGTCGTTCAACTGGCCTGGATTTTATCCAGCTCTGAAGTTGGGTAAACGCCTAACTTTTCAGTATTCATTTTTCTCTTTAAAGTTGGGACAATATTGTCAAGTTTTTATGACTAACTTTCAGATTTAAGTGAGATAATCTTAAAATTTAATTACGGGATCCAGCACAAACGGAGACTGTGAAACAGTAGCTGCCCTTATTTACTTCCTGCCATCTGCTTGATTGTTATAGTCCGTTCACTCTGAGAACTGAGACGGCCCTATTCTTCTAAATGTTCTCTCAAAAAAATTTTTTAAATGTCTTCCACAGGATTTTGTCTCCACAATTATCCACTTACTCGACAGCCCTTCAACATACATTAGAGCAAAAGCCTTCCTGGTTCTTCTGTATATTTTGGTTTATAACCGCGAGATGTTGCTGCTCAGTTGCCAAGCAAGGTAAGATCTTCTCTGATGTTTTCATCAGCAACTTCAGTTTAGAGCCTGTTGCATTAGTGGTTCTAGGGTATTTCTTGGCCTCCGTGTATTTGGTATGGAATGTTTTTAAGGGCTTTTCTAGGGGTTTAATATGTCTCCTGTAACCTGAGCTTGGAAGTACTGAGGACCAAGAGAGGACCTCTGAAACCATAGCAGGCTGGGAAATGCCTGGTGTGTCCTTAAACGGTTTTGCTCTTTGTCCCCACCCAAATCTCACCTTGAATTACAATCCCTATAATCCCCATGTGTCAAGGGACTAAGTGGGGTAATTGGATTATCCCGCATGCTGTTCTTGTGATAATCAGTGAGTCTCACCACATCGGTTGGTTTTATGAGCGTCTGGCACCCACTCCATCCTACCGCCCTGTGAAGAAGGTGCCTGTGTCCCCTTTACCTTCTGCCATCATTGTAAATTTCCTGAGGCCTCCCAAGCAATGTCAATCAATTAAACCTTTTTTCTTTATAAATTACCCAGTGTCAGATATTTCTTCACAGCAGTGTGGCAGTGGGCCAGTACAGCCCTAGATCTGAGAACAATCCAAGGCAGGGTGTTGAGATGGTTCTGATTTGTACCACTGGAGTCAATGTTGGACCAGGGATTTGGTTGTAATTTTCTGTATTGTAAGATACTGGAATAAGCAGCTGAAAAGGAGGAGCAGGGTAGGGGCAAGAGTTAATGGACTGGTCCTAGGAAGGACAGGTGTTTCTCCTGGCTTGGAATGCCTTCCTCTAAAGGAGGAGCTGTTCTAGATGCTCCCCAGGTCTGCTTCACGTCCTGATGCTTTCCCATTAACATCTGAACCATCTGATCAGTGCTGTGTCGATGCCCAGAGGGGCCCTGAAAATTTAGTTTAATGTCTGTTTCTGGATCCAGATTTTTATTGTTCTAGAGTACTGAGCAGAGCCTGGTATTGCTGAGATTGATCTAGATTAGGGGTTGGCAAATTTTGTTCCTAGTAACAGTGAGAGAGAAGGCTTTGTGGATCAAGAGGGAAAACTGGAGCTATTATATACCGACCTATATAACAAACAGGAAAACAAATTTCCGTGTGTATTTTTGGAGACAGGGTCTTGCTCTGTTGCCCAGGCTGGAGTGCAGTGGTGTAATCATGGCTCACTGTGGCCTTGAGCCCTGCGCCAGGCTCAATCAATCCTCTCATCTCAGCTTCCTGAGTAGCTGAGGCTACAGGTGCATGCCATCATGCCCAGATAATTTTTACAATTTTTTGATAGAGACAGGGTCTCACTGTGTTGTTCAGGCTGGTCTTGAACTCTTGGGTTTGAGTGATTTTCTTGCTTCAGCTTCCCAAAGTGCTAGGATTACAGGCATGAGCCACTATGCCCAGCCCACGTTTTTTATAAACATAAAAATATACCATTAATAATTGAATGAAAATTTTCTTTTGTAATACAGGGCTAGTAACGAGAAGAAGATAATTCTTTTTTATTTTCAGGGGAAGGAGGAGATAACATTTTGCTTAACTGGGGATCAAAGTTAGTGTCCCTATCATTAAATCAATTGTGAATGTTCTTACCTTACTGCTGGTTTTTAATGTGATTTAATGTGTTTTGTCTTCGAAAATGTTTTACACAGATAGATACTGCCAAATAACAGTATCAACTCGTGAAGATGTGATTTTAAGTGAGCACATTTGCCACTGGGAAGGCATTTGCGGCATTCTGTAAGATTCTGGACTTCTGTGTCTCAGGATGGCATTTCCTGGTGGATGAATCACTTCCAGCTGAGGGTGTGGAATTTCCTAATAAACCTCCTTGTTTCTTGACTTTTAGGGATCACTGTTTTTCCTTGTTTTAGGTCCGATGTCTTGAAGTGTGATATTTCATGTATTTTGTCTATTTTTTGGTTGTTTTAGATGGAATGGTGAATGCTGTTTCTGTTAGTCCATTATGGCCAGAAGTGGAAGTTGCCCTTGTCTATGTATTTTTAGTGACCTCACCGCTGGCTTTGCTACCTCTGATCTGTCTTGGCGTTTAACCATCATTTTTCACTGGAACAACTAACATAATTTCTCCACAGCTTTACTGTGCAGAGTTAGGGCAAGAAACCACAGAGAAAAAAAGGAGAAAATGAAACAATAAGAGAGAAAGAATAGCAAAAATGTTCTCAATGGATGCTCTTACATCATTTCTTGCTCTCACAGTCTGGTTTCCATGTAGCAGCTGGAATGCCTGCTGAGACACTGAGAATCAGCTTTCCTTCCTTCCCTGTTCAGACCCCTCCAGCAGCATCCAGTCACTCTGTAATAACACCCCTCCTTCCCTGCGGGGACCCCTCCACCAGCATCCAGTCACTCTGTAATGACACCCCTCCTTCCCTGCGGGGACCCCTCCAGCAGCATCCAGTCACTCTGTAATGACACCCCCTCCTTCCCTGCGGGGACCCCTCCAGCAGCATCCAGTCACTCTGTAATGACACCCCTCCTTCCCTGCGGGGACCCCTCCAGCAGCATCCAGTCACTCTGTAATGACACCCCCTCCTTCCCTGCGGGGACCCCTCCAGCAGCATCCAGTCACTCTGTAATGACACCCCTCCTTCCCTGTTCTGACCCCTCCAGCAGCATCCAGTCACTCTGGAATGACACCCCTCCTTCCCTGTTCTGACCCCTCCAGCAGCATCCAGTCACTCTGGAATGACACCCCTCCTTCCCTGCGGGGACCCCTCCAGCAGCATCCAGTCACTCTGTAATGACACCCCTCCTTCCCTGCGGGGACCCCTCCAGCAGCATCCAGTCACTCTGGAATGACACCCCTCCTTCCCTGTTCTGACCCCTCCAGCAGCATCCAGTCACTCTGTAATGACACCCCTCCTTCCCTGTTCTGACCCCTCCAGCAGCATCCAGTCACTCTGTAATGACACCCCTCCTTCCCTGCGGGGACCCCTCCAGCAGCATCCAGTCACTCTGGAATGACACCCCTCCTTCCCTGCGGGGACCCCTCCAGCAGCATCCAGTCACTCTGGAATGACACCCCTCCTTCCCTGTTCTGACCCCTCCAGCAGCATCCAGTCACTCTGTAATGACACCCCTCCTTCCCTGTTCTGACCCCTCCAGCAGCATCCAGTCACTCTGGAATGACACCCCTCCTTCCCTGCGGGGACCCCTCCAGCAGCATCCAGTCACTCTGTAATGACACCCCTCCTTCCCTGCGGGGACCCCTCCAGCAGCATCCAGTCACTCTGGAATGACACCCCTCCTTCCCTGTTCTGACCCCTCCAGCAGCATCCAGTCACTCTGTAATGACACCCCTCCTTCCCTGTTCTGACCCCTCCAGCAGCATCCAGTCACTCTGGAATGACACCCCTCCTTCCCTGTTCTGACCCCTCCAGCAGCATCCAGTCACTCTGGAATGACACCCTCGCTCCTCCACGTCCTCCCTGTCCTGCCTTTTCTAGTTCTTGTCCGGTCTTCCTTGGGCACACTGCATTCCGGCCCATGGCTGGGCTGTTGCTTTGTGTACTCACTAAGCCCGTTTCACTCACCTCAGGGCTTCTCTTGGCTGCTGTTTCCTGCGCCTGTGTCTCTTCTTTCAGATGCTTGCATGGCTGGCTTCCTCAGATTATTCCAGTCTCTGTCTAAGGGTTACTTCTGAGAGCCACCCTGATGACTCTGTCTAAAATACTTACTGCAACCTCAATTCAGAAACTCTTTAACTGGAAGAAACTGAACCACGTACACCTTCAGAGCCTGGGTATGACACATGTGGTCCTTCCTCCCTGGGAATTGCTGTGACTTTTCTCGGAAACAATGTTTAGACGCTGGAGCAGTGGTGGGAACATAGTGGTCTGAAGGCATGCCCTTGACCCTGACCTGCATTCTTCTCACTCTCTGGAGCAACACAACACGCAGGGGGAGTTTAGAGAGAGGGTCTGGCCGGTGATCTTAACCTTGCAGGGGAGGTAAGATAGGCTCTGTTTTTCCTCCGCTGTGTGGCAGAGATGATGCTCCTGTCCTTGGGCCCCTAAGCTCGGCGTGAATAGTAGAACTTGGAGCTTCTGTACTGTCTAAAATGCAGATGCTTTCTGCATATGGTGGTTTGGGCTTGCAGTCTTACTCCCAGGAGATCTCGAGCAGAACTGAAATGGTGGAACAGTCTGTCTCTGTCCATAAGGTTTTAGAAAGACGGCATCACCTTCCTGCCCTGAGAGAACAGCCTCTCTTACCACCTGCCTCTTCACCACAGCGGTCCTGATTGGGTGCCAAACAGATTAAGAACTCAGTAGGCAGAGATTTGTATCAGCCCATTTAGGGAAACAGTATTTGAAGGAGAAAGAAGACCAGGCATTTCTCTTTCTCTTCTTTTCTTTTCTCTTTTGTTCTCTTTTCCCTTTTCTCTTCTCTTTTCCCTTCTCCCTTCTCCCTTCCCTTCTTCCCTTTGAGACAGAGTCTCATTCTGTGGCCCAGGCTGGAATGCAGCGGCCTGATCTCAGCTCACTGCAACCTCCACCTCCCGGGTTCAAGTGATTGTCCTGTCTCAACCTCCCCAGTAGCTGGGACTACAGGTGTGCGCCACCACGCCCAGCTAATTTTTGTATTTTTTAGTAGAGACAGGGTTTCACCATGTTGGTCAGGCTGGTGTCTAACTCCTGACTCAAATGACCTGCCTACCTTGACCTTCCAAAGTGCTGGGATTACAGACATGAGCTGCCACAGCCAGCCAGACTAGGCATTTCTTACGGAGCCAGAACTAATGGAAGACACAGAAAATAATTTTAACAAACATTGAAAACTCTATGGAGAAGACAGTGTTGTTTTTTTTTTTAAATTCTAGAACTGAAAGAGAATGGCCTTTGCTAGGGATAGCAGTGATGCTTTGAAAGGTAGTATGAAAGGGCACGTTGAACCATTCAGAGCTGATGACAAAGAGAAAACAGTAAGAAATACGGAGTGGAGGTCCAGGAGACCTCACGTGCCGAGTGCCACGAGTTTTAGGAGGAGCGAAGA